TTATCAACTGTAGTTGCTGAATTGTTTAATGTAATGAGAATGTACTGTGATTGTAGGTCTTACTTCAATGTACTTGATAAATGTACTTGATTGTAGTTGTTGAATTGTTATCAATTGTAGGTGCTGAATTGTTATCAATATTGTTTGTTATGAATAAGTTGACATAATTCGTAATATTTGGTATAAAAAGCTTGTAATTTGACTTTTAAGTGCATAACAAATTACATACTGAGACATGAGTACAAAATACATACTGGGACATTAGTGCATAACAAAACACATTACAAAGCACATACTGAGACATGAGTACAAAATACATAAAAGGTTCAAAGTGCATAATAAAGCACATTACAAAGTGCATAACAAAGCACATTACAAAGTGCATAGCAAAACACTTGGTTCATAATACAACATACATTTGTTTCATAGTACATAACAAAACACTAGGTTCATAAGACATAAGGTTTAACCAAAACACATTTGTGTCACTCTTGAGTTTTCACCGAGTTATGCTCTTCTGGATGTCATCCCATTTCTTCTTTCCCCTAGCACTGCAAATAGTTGAGTCTTCTTCAGGTATTACAAATGGATCATTTGGATCCCTTCCAGGTCCCTCTATATTCTTTTTCTTCAAAGTCCTAAGTCTGTTACTCTTTCTAATTGGAGATGAAACAATTTTTGATTTTTTCCTTGGTGATATCATTATTTTCACCTGTTATGATAACATAGAGTTATCAAGGTAAAAAAACATAACATGCCAAATAAGTCTATCAGAACAAGTTACAAACTTACAGGGTCACTCATAGTTGGGTTGACAACAGGTTTTGATACCTTATGAAATTTACCAATAAAGGTTTTGGGACCAGGCATATTATTCTTTGCAGGACTATTATCAATTCTTAATGGTGCATTATCTAGTATGTCATCATCATTCAACAATGCCTCTAATTCATCATGATCTACACCATAATATATTCTCATTGCCTCAGATGAGGTGACAAAATTTTGTGAAAGGTGTACCCCAGATTGAGTAGGCGTCACATCAGTTGGTGTGGGATTTTCTTCAGGTTGAGTAGCATGACTCATATTTCTTGCAGTTGGTGCTTGAGCCTCATTTCTTGCAGTAACCTAACTCCTATTTTCTGTAGTAGCTTGACTCCCATTTCCTACAGTAGCCTTTGATTTCTTAGATGTGCCTCCTTTTTTGGTTGTACCTTTTGTCCCACCCTGCATCCAACATAATTGTAACAAGTCATTGAAAATTATATATGAATTTCTAATGTAAAGTTTTTGTTCAGTTTGAGCTACTAACCCTTTTTTTGGATCCTACAGCAGCCACATTTTGTGTTTGGCTTCCTTGGATGGGTGCAATATCTCTTGGCAGTTCACCTTCAACCACTGTCAATTGTTTGTTTTTCTTACATCTCCTTGTATTGTGTCCATATTCCAAGCAAGTCTTGCAATTGTGGCTTGTGTTTGTCCTTTGCCACCATGTTTGACTTGCCTCATTTGGCTCTCTTCTTCTGAGTTTCTTTGGTCTACCAGAACCTCTCTTGTAACTTGGTGGTAAGATGTCGCGGTCAGTAGTCCTTGGCCATTTGTCTTGGCCATTAATGGGACTGATAAATTCATTGTAACATGAGACATAAGTAGACTTATGGTAACACTTATGTACATACTTAATGGGATTATCTACCTTCCTATGTGTGGATGCAACATCCTGTCTACATGGGATCTCAACCAAGTCCCAAAAGTTACAAGAACAAGTATGTTTTGCCAAGTCTACAACATAACTTTCTGTGAACATTACACGACTTACTTAAAATGTTTACCTCCATATGTGGGCAGCCAATTAGCACTTTTTTCTATCTCCATATCTAACCTTCTAAGTGGTTTAGACATGATCTCTCCTTTCTAATTTTCTACCTTCTCCCTAAGAGTGGTAAACCTAGCCATAAGATAGTTTCTAGTCCACTCAAACATGGTAATTATAGGTTTATCCCTTTGCATCAAAATAGTAGCATTGAATGATTCACTTAGGTTGTTCATAAGAACATCACACTTAGAGTACAAGAGAAAGAAATGTTTACACCACTTATTCTTGGGAATAACATTTAGCCATCCAAAAGCATATGGTCTTACCTCCTTAATTTGATTCATCTTATCCTCGTGAGATTCAAAATAGGTTACTGTTACTGCAACCATTATGAGATCTCTGTATAATATACCACCTCCAAAATTCTTTTTGAAGTTAGCATATAAATGCCTTAAGCAAAACCTGTATTCAAACCCAGGACATTCTTCCTCAAATGCATTCAGCAGTCCCTGCATATACATGAAAATGACATCAATAAGTAACATTAAACACTAAATTAACAAGTAACATTAAGCATACCTTTTGCTGGTCAAACATGAAGCACCACGTACTATCAGAACCAATGTATTCAAGAAGTAACTTAACAAACCAACTCCAAGAGTCCATAGTTTCATTCTCCGCAACCCCAAAGGCAAGTAGAAGATACTGTTCATTGGCATCCCTATTGACATCTATCAACAAGATTCCACCATATTTGTTTTTTAGGTGACATCCATCTAACCCTATGAATGGTCTATATCAAACCTTCAATGATTTATTTGTACTATCAAAGCACATGTAGCACCTTTCAACCCTAGGTGGCAAACCAGAGATGTTCAACTTAAATGTGTTTCCTTTGGATTCCCTCCTTAATTCAACTCCATATGACCATAGTATATTGTATTGCTTGGCTGACTCCCCTTCAACAACCTTTCTAGCTAGCTGCCTTGCTTTGAAAGCCCTACATCCAGTAATTTTTGTAGCAAACCTCAATATTACATATGCTACAACTCCATTCAATTTCATACCTAAATTGTTCTTCAACTTGTCAACAGTCACTCTAGATACCCAATCGGCATTAGCATTCTTGTTGAAGAACTTTCTTCCATATTTGTGCTTCTTAAATAGAGTTTTAATCCTGAATGATGTTGTTCTCAAAATCCTGCTGCATAAAATTGTGTAATCACATTGTTGTTTGTCCTTACAAACAACCCTACACCTTGTCCCATCATTTTTGGCAAACCTAACCTCCCTACCATTCAACACATTGTGTTCCATTACAACCTTATTAAAATGCTTCAGAGAAGAAAATTCCATTCCCACCTTGAATTTAAATTCTTTTCTAAGGTTTTCATGTTCATCAAACCTTATCACTAAAGGCCTACCATCATCGTTATCATCATCTTCCCCACTATCAAGCTCATTTGTGATGTAATCATCCTCAATTATATGTTCCCTTTGCATCTCAGTTGTAGTCAACTCTTTATGTATCCCTTGACCATTATCCATTTGACTTGTACCATCACCATTATCCACTTCACCTATACCAACACCTTCACCTATGTCTTCATCAAAATCGTGCATCCTCTTTTCTTCACTATCTTCAAAGTGTATACCATTCAAAGAGTCTTCAGATGATTCACTATCCTCACCATCTTCATTTTCCTCAACATTAATATGGCCTTTTTCTTTCTCTTTTAACCTCTCCATATAAGTCTTCTCACCACTAGATAATCTTGCCTCTGTATATATCTCAACATCACACTTAGTCTCCTCAGCGCACATAGTTAACATTGTTGCATCATCATTATTAACAAGGGGTTTTAGATCGCTTTCAAGTGAGCCATGTTCAGACTTCCACCACATTTTCACATCTTCAGTTTTAAACAATAAATCCATACCCTTAATTAAGTCGCATGCTTCAAAGTATGACCAGAAATCAGGGTCTTGTCCACATATAGCGTAAACATCCCCCTTCATATTTTAACCCTTCATCCTTTACAAATGATCCTTTGGTATAAAAGATACGTTAAATAACCTCATTGCCTACACATTTCAAGAAAAAACAAGAATAACTCAAACATTACCAATAGATTAAAATCAAAAACCCTAGAATTTGGGACCAGCACATGGGGCATCCAGTCAATACTCGAAATGAATAAACTATAGCAAGTGGGACTTACCTAATCGTTGTTGAGACCGCAACAACCAGCTCAAGATTCGTCAATGTTGGGACCACAAGATGGAGATACCACTATTGGAGAGAGGGACCACTGTCGAAGGAATTTGATTTTGAAACATGAGATATGTCACTTATTAATGAATTCCATATCAGAAAAGAAATTTTTTATTTAATCCACCCGTCTTGTCACATAGGAAGCCGTTAGTGGAATTTGACGTTGGAGACCAATTATTCAGACGGAAAATTTTGAAGGGACTAATTCTTGAAAGAAAATATTCGAGGGACTAAATACGAAGTTTGAAATATTTAGAGAGACCAAAAAATGAGTTCAAAATGTTATTTAATATTTTTATTTAAAAAATTTTATATGTTTATTATTTAAAAGAAAAATAGTGAAGATTTTTAAAAATATTAGTTTTAAATTAAATGAAAATGCAATATAAATATGAATAAATTAAAAAATAATAATTAAGTTACAAAAAAGAGGAACAAAAAGCCAAATAAAAACTTTTATTTAAAAAGAAAGGTAATATAAAAATACAATTAAAACATGTCAGAATAAAAGTCTTTTTTTAACTTTTGTTCGTCTTTTTTTTTTTCGGAATAAAAGTCGTTCTTTATTAATTAAAATATACTTACTTTTTTAACTTCTAAAAGAAAGATTTGTATTAAATAAAAATCAGTACAAAAATACAATTAAATATATTTTAATTATTTGTGAAAAATAATAAAGAAATACTTTACTAGTCAATTCACCATTAGTTTCTTGGAAGCTGTATTGAAATTGAAAATGAAACGTTTAGAAGATAAAAAATAAAAAAACGGTTGCGCATTGTCCCGCTTACCAAAAAGTGACTATTAACTGCTCCAGCTTTTGAAAACTGTAACAAAACATACAAGTCTAAGGCGAAGAGAGGTTCACAACGTTCCAGTAAGCTTGTTTTGTTTTCTTGAGGAACTATCATGGCCAGTAAATACGAAGGAAATGCGGTAGGAATAGACCTTGGAACAACCTACTCGTGTGTTGCTGTTTGGTTGGAGAAAAAAAACTGTGTTGAGATTATTCACAATGATGAAGGCAACAAAATCACACCTTCTTTTGTTGCTTTCACTGATGGTCAAAAATTAGTCGGCGATGCTGCTAAGGATCAGGCTGCTATCAATCCAGAAAACACCGTCTTTGGTATATTTCTATTATTATTATTATTGTTAAATATGTGAATTTGACTGTTATTATTGATATATATAAATAGGAGAGATGAATAACGAAAGATAACTATTAATATTTGTTTCAGATGCTAAAAGGTTAATTGGTAGAAAGTTTAATGATCCTGATGTTCAAAAGGATATTATGTTGTGGCCATTCAAGGTTATTTCGGGTGTTAATGATAAACCTATGATTACTGTTAAGTATAGAGGTCAAGAGAAGCAACTTTGTGCTGAAGAAATCTCATCTATAGTCCTCACCAACATGAAGGAGATTGCAGAGGCTTATTTGGAATCTCCTATTAAAAATGCAGTTGTCACTGTGCCTGCTTATTTCAATGATTCTCAACGAAAAGCAACCATGGATGCTGGTGCCATTGCTGGCCTTAATGTAATGAGGATAATTAATGAACCTACTGCTGCAGCCATTGCTTATGGCCTTGACAAGAGAGACAAGAGAGGTGAATGCTTTGGCGAACAACATATTTTTGTCTTTGATCTTGGAGGTGGTACCTTTGACATCTCTCTTCTCACTATTAAAGATAATGTCTTTGAAGTTAAAGCAACAGCTGGAAATACTCACTTAGGAGGGGAGGACTTTGATAATAGAATGTTGAACTACTTTGTTCAAGAATTCAAGAGGAAGAACAAGGTGGATATTACTAGTAATCCTAGAGCCCTGAGGAGGTTGAGAACTGCCTGTGAAAAGGCAAAAAGGACGCTCTCTTTCAAATTGGTCACAAATATAGAGATTGATTATTTATGTGAGGGCATTGATTTTTCTTCATCAATCACTCGTGTTAAGTTTGAGGAAATTAATATGGACCTTTTTTATGAGTGTATAGAGACTGTGGAAACTTGTCTTACTGATTCTAAGATTGATAAGAGTAGTGTAGATGATGTTGTTCTAGTCGGTGGCTCGTCTAGGATTCCCAAAGTGCAGGAACTATTGAGTGACTTCTTCAATGGAAAAGATTTGTGCAAGAGCATCAATCCTGACGAGGCTGTTGCTTGTGGTGCAGCGGTTCAGGCTGCTTTGTTGAGTAAAACCGTTAAGAATGTTCCCAACTTGGTGTTGCGAGATGTTACACCCTTGTCACTTGGTATTAGAGAAAGTGAAGATACCATGAGTGTGGTAATTCCTAGAAACACTTCCATACCGACCAAGAAGACACGAGGATATTCAACTGGTAAGGATAACGATTGCAGTGTCTCTATTCAAGTTTATGAGGGTGAGAGAGCATGCGTTAGTGACAACAATCTGCTTGGTTTTTTTAGTCTCTCTTGCATTCCTGCTGCTCGTGGCCACCCCTTGGATGTATCCTTTGCAATAGATGAAAATGGTATCCTAACTGTTTCTGCAAAGGAAATATCTACTGGAAATACAAACGAAATCACGATAACCAATGACAAAGAAAGGTTATCAAGCGACGAAATTAAAAAACTGATTCAAGAAGCAGATCAGTATCGTGCTGAAGATGAGAAATTCTTAAGGAAAGCCAAGGTCATGAATGCATTAGATTACTGTGTTTACAAGATTAGAAATACTTTAAAGAAGGATGATGTTAAATTAAAGCTCCTTCCTCAAGAGAAAAGCAAGATCAATCGTGCAATTACCGCGGCTACTAGTTTGCTTGATAAGAATAACCAACTTAATGAAGTAGATATTCTTGAGGATCATCTGAAAAAGCTTGAAACTGTGTTGGAAGATCTTGAAGTCAAGGCTCGCTAGTTTTCTTTTTTGTCAGTTAGATTTTAAATTTCGGTTGTTAAAATTGCAGCTTTTGTTGACATGGTGAATGCATTTCTTTATGTTACTGTTGGATAAACTTTGCACTAGACATGTTATTTAAAATTTCAACTTTTGTTGCTTCTAATAACAGATCCAATATTGCATGAATGTTTATCTTGTTCATCATCGTTTCACGATAATCCCAACCTTAATTCGGTGTCCTTGTTTCAATATAGCTTTTCATTTCTTGATAATTCTTAGGGAATGAATGTATATGAGAGAGAATATGGAATGAGATAGGAAGAAGGATAGGAATCTCATCAAATTTATAGTAACATATCTCTTATTGGCTGGGAATTTTCTTGACATTTTACTTTCCTAAAGCACAGAATACCATGCCATTGATAGAATGAAGACTCTTGTTGCTAAAATCCTCTTCTTTGTTCTCATACATGATACTCTTTTCCTCGAGTGCAATTAGGACCCTCATGCCATAATGACTTGACCAGAAATTTAACAGGATTACTTCATCTGCCATTGCTAAGATAGAAGGCGTGAACAAAATAAAATTGAAGTTGGATGCAGAAGATGTATGGTGGGTGCTGGTTTGGAGACTGTTCCTGGTGCAAGGAGGCTTGGATTGGGTCGACTAGCAAGGGAACTGACCACTCTTGAAGCAGCAGCATGGAGAAAACTTGACTGTTGGAGGTGGTGTTGATTAGATTAATAGTGTCTGATAATAAGTAGGAAATAGTGTCTCAAGCTGCTCATTCAAGATCTATTGCAAAGATAGTTCCACATCTATTAGTTTGGAAATATAATAAGTGTTTACAAGCAGTTCATTTTCAATACCTAATAACCAATTTGAATTATAAAAAGCTTTAAGGTTATCAGGACTATTTAGTTATTATCTTTGGCATTTTTGGGTTATGAGCTTCTTGGACTTAGGAGTAGAGACCTTGACCTACCTTGAGTCCTTGTAACTTCTATTGCTATTTTGTGAAGACTTAATGCATTTGAAGTTTAGTCATTATGTCAAGTGTTGATTAGACGATTCTTTTCCCTAACTTTTACCTTATGCTTTAGGATATTCCCTTTATCTCCTCTCATTTTCTTTAATTTAAAAAATCTTCTCCCTCCTTTCGAAAACTCTTCTTGTTTTCTAACTTGAACCGATGTCGCAATAAACTTGGACTTAGGTCAATGCATTTTCAAAAATAGTTTCTTAATCAAACTTTAAACAACTTAATCTTTACTTTGATATTTTTGTGAGAAGACTAAAAGTCAATCAATCTCATTCAAACCATTTTGCCACTTTGTCTTTTTACCTTAAAACTTTTCTCAAAAGATTAGACTTTTGTCAATCCTTGTAGTGATACGAACTACTATACTTCTACGATATATAGTGAAGCGGAATATTTTCCACTTGGGTGTTGAGCGATACTTTGTTAATTTTAAAATCCAAGCTATATCCTCCACTTTGAGATGATGCAAATTCTTCGTTCTCATGATTATGGATAGTAAGTATGTTTTCCATTCGGATTTGACAATGATGTCTCGTCTCTTAAAATTAACCAACACACTTGTGTTTTAAAATTTTAAAGGTGAACTACGAGTACCCTGATCTCCTATTGTACGGAAGGTGGTACGTAGGCACTAAAGGTTCGCAACTGCGGCGGGTGCAAAAACTATAAAAAAAAATACTTCTCTTCTCATCTCCACCACCTTTTTTTGTATACAACATTTATAGCCAAAATACACAAATTTTCAAAGAGGTTCATGCGGAGTACCGTAGATGTTTAGGATGCTAATACATTCCCTTTGCATAACCAACCCCTGAACTTAGATTCTCTTCCCTTCTTTTTTAGATTATTTGCTCTTTTCCCATTCCTTTGGAAACAATAAAGCGGGGTGACGATTTTTATTTGATCTGTGCGAGTTAAGTCAATCCAATGACTTAGTCTCAATATTTCTACCGCTACAGCTTCCACGCGCAAACTTGGATCCCTCGAAAACTCCATCTAAAGTTCTCTTTAGTTTTTTTTAAAACTGGTAGAAAAATGTCAATGGCGTGTGTGGAGAAGAATAAGGAAATTGGCTTTGTGATTACTGACGTTGAGAGAGCCACAAAACAAAACAGAATGAAAACGTGGCAAGTGGAATTGAGCTGTGGCGAGGGCCACACGTGCTGTGGCGAGGGCCACACTAGTTGGTCATGTGTGGCGAGGGCCACATTCCAAAAATAGATTTTTCTTCTTTTTTTACTTTATTCTTCTCATTTCTTGTCATTTTCTTGTTCTTTTGCGCATGGAAGCTTCCTGTTAGAAAACACCTGAAATGAAATAGAAGATATGTGAGATGGCTTATCAGCTTACTCTGTGATTTATTGGACCATATCAGATATCAGAGAAGATATGTGAGATGGCTTATCAGGTTAATTTACCGTCGCCGCTTGCGAATCTTCATGAAGTGTTTCATGTGTCTTAGTTGAGGAGATACTTTATGGATCCTTCACATGTGATCCAAATGGATGATATACAAATGAGAGATAACCTGACTGTTGAAGCATCACCCATGCGGATAGAAGGACAAGAATTGAAACAATGCGGGGTAAAGACATCGCCTTAGTGAAGGTATTGTGGGGTGGACCAGCTGGTGAAAGTTGGACTTAGGAACGCGAAGATCAGATGAGAGTGTCTTATTCGATTTTGTTTCTGCCAGGTAATTTTCGAGGGAAAAATTTATTTTAGGTGGAGGAGAGTTGTAACACCCCAAAATAATTAGATTATTTATTTAATTATTTAATTTGGAATAGTGTGAGTATTTGTGATGCATCTATGAGTATATGTGATGTTTTGGTGTATGTGAGGTGATATTGGGTGTTTTAGTAATTTTAGATAATTAGTTTTGGTTATTTAGAATTATTATTAATTAAATAAATAAAATAATAAGAGGTGGAGACTATGAGGACAAGGTAGTAATATTGTGAAGTAAGTGAGAGTAAGATGGGAAGACCATAGAAAGGGTCTAAGGGTTAAACAAGGAATAGAGAAAAAAAGTGTGTCATCATGTGTGATCGTGAAAAGAGTTGGAAGAGCACAACAGAGCTAGGGCATGAAGATGTCGAATGGATTATTTTTAGAATCCAAAGAAGAAGATCAAAGCCATAATCTAAGGTATGGGGATCATCCTTGTTATTGTGATTGATATAGAGTTTAGATGTATGTAGGTTGTTTGGGATTTTAGTGATGAATTTGATAACATGATGATTGTGATGAATTTGGTGATAAATTAATGTTATAATGCTGATAAATGATGTACATGATGATTACTATGATGTGCTATTGTGATGTTGTGAAACCATAATGATTTAGATGAGTTTTGAGTCTGCTTTGGTGTGAAATCGTAAAACAAAGTGGGGCTAAACTGTCTAGGAAACGCACAATAGAATTGTTGTTCGCGTTGTCTTGTCGGGCGAGCAAGATGCTTTGCCGGGAGAAGGTGTCTCTCCCCAGATGTGTCGGGAGAGGGAGGAGTGAAAGGAAAAAGGTGGATGATTCGCCCCAGCTTTGCCAGGCGAAGGGAAGGCAAAAGTGAATCTAGTCGGGCGAGCGAATAGCTTTGTCGGGCAAAGGAAGTAGAAGAAAAAGGATGCTCCTGGAATTTGTATGGGGGAGAAGCTGCCGCTCTTGCCTCTCTGGGCGAGCCTTAGGCGAGTGATAGTAGGCAGGAATTTAAAAGTGTCGTAACTTGAGTTTCCAGACTTCGTTCAACGCTGCCGTTCTAGTAACTATGCTACGATGAAATTAGACTTCTTTGTGATGGATTACAATGATATGTGTTATATGATGAGTTGTTGATACTATGACGATACTATATTGTTGTTAGGATGATATGATGAGGTTATGATAATGTCGTATATATATATATATATATATATATATATATATATATATATATATATATATATATATATATATATATATATATATATATATATATATATATATATATATATATATATATATATATATATATATATATATATATATGTATGTGATAATATGAAGATGGTTACATGAATGAATGATGCGTTTTAACTAGTCGTGATCATGTTTTATTGTGTTGTTACGCATCATGCATTTATGGCATATAATTAGGACTTCGGTTCAGTGATGTTTTTAGGATTTAAGTCCAGTGAATTTTATAGGACAAATAGTCCAGTGATGGTCTTAATCCTATTGTGTGGATTTGAGTGATATTTTGTGACGCTCTCTGGTTTCAAGCGGAAATCGATCTTATTGGCGGGGATCTTTGGAGAAATGATGACTGAGTCATCAATAAAGTTTTGGTACCACATGCATGAGTCAATGTGTTGCATTGCATTATATGTGACATTATATAATAATTAATTAAGTGATGTTGGTGAAATTGTGATTTTGTGATGCTTGATGATTGTTGTTAATGTGACGATATAATGATATCATTAATTTGTATTTTTGATGCAAATGTATGAGTACATATATGAAATATAATTATATGTGAATCTATGATGACTTGTTGTTGTGCTTATATATAAATTCCATATATCTTTTATAATAATTTGTGATTACTCACCCTTTCTGCTTGGAAATGTCGCCTCTATACGTGGGTAACTTGCAGGTGATCAAGAATAGTTCATCGAAGCTTAGAGGATAGCTTCAGAGTGCGTTGTTTATTTCTGTTTATTTTAGAAGATCTTGCTATGATATATAATATTGGGATCTTTGGAATCGTTTGATTTGAACTAGATGTTTATGATTGACATGACGTGTCGAAGAATTCATTTTCTTGCAAAAGTTCTTCCCTAGAAGAATTCATTACCTCAGTAAGGTCGCCAGAGTACTTTCCTCAACAGGGTTTATTTTCCTAACAAATTGAAATTTCCCCAACTTGAGTCTATTCCTCAGACTACTACAAATCACTGAAAAATTCCTCTCCCCCAGTAGAACTCCCACTGT